TTCAATCAGGCACAAATTTACTTTCGCGTTACATAACTGTCCCGTTGGTCGGCTATCTAGCTCTCAGTGTGAAACAGACACATCTACTGAAAGGCTTAACCTACGGCTGGCAAATGCAAAGCCCTTACCATCTCGTTGAAGATGCCTAGGGAGAGCTGGGGAGGGAGCATTGCGGCTCAGACTCTTTGAAGCCTGACATGACATGAAGCTCAGCAACCCGAGCCTCGGCTTGAGCCTTGCGCAAAAGAATCCACCAGTTTGCCATCCAACTTGCCTCATCGAACGCTTCATGCGGTGCCCTGCCGAAATGAAAATAAAGCGCTTTTCCGCACAACGCTGCAAAGCATCCTCGCTCTTCCTGTTCACAAAGGCTTGCGGAGTCTGGCTGCTAAGATTTCTGGCTGATCATTGCTCGCTGAGGCAGTCCCAAACATGGGGTGCTCAGAACTGCAACCCCCCAGACCTCTTCTGTCAAACGCCGTCACAACTTACCAATCGATCTATGTCACAGATTTGGAATGAAGTAGTTTGTCCTTCCAAGCCTCGCCTTTAAAAAAATCTACAGCAGGGACCCTTAGTACCATTAGAAGGAGAAGACATATGGACATCATGTACTAAAAAACCTCAGGCATAGGCATCACTTCAATCAACATCGTCTATCTTCACATCGCAGCTCCTCGCCCAACGTCGCATTTCAGCACATGTCTTGCTCTATGACTGAGAGCTCCCAGTTGAGAGTAATAGGATGGCAACTACGACAGCTATTGCAAAGAGTGCACATGTGAATACCGCGTCCATGATGGAAACTATGTTCTTAGCAGCTGACAGTCTGACATGTCTCAGCTTTGCTGAGTGCTGCTGTGGAAAAATGATTCTCTGGGCACGTGAAGGTGCAGCATGGGCATCGCAGTAAGCTGCACTTGTTTAGGATCTAAATTTGGGGGTAAATCTCCCCACCTTCTCTACCCCTAAGGCAGCTAACAATGACACATACAGTTCTACAACACGAAAACAGTAAACGGGACATAGGCTCTCATGAGCAGCAATGGTTCAAGATTGTGATTTCCGAAAAGCCAGCAGACAACGCAATCACATACTGTCCTGGTGTGTCCCTGTTACGACGACCCACCATTACCGAAAATAGTTGCCTCCTTCACTCAGGCTTACAGGCTATCAGGTCATAGAAGCACTGCACTGCAAAATCCTTCACCTCCAACAATACCCAAAAAATACGACTAGGAGTTTGAGTAAAAGCAATTGCAATAATGCGGATAAAGATAAGAACAATAATAGTAATCAGAAGGATAGCGGGACTGGCAATAATACAAATAGACTTGCTTTGGAGCTTGGAGCCTGAGACAACTGGGAACCGAATCACCGAAACTTGCTAACTTCAAACATTAGGCGTCATCAAAACCAGTACGCCTGACGCTGACTTTGAGACATGGGCCCCTTTTGGGCACAGGGCATGACATGCATCTTCGTCCTGGCCTTCATAAATCTCTGGTCCAGCAGGGAAGCCTTTTTTGGCGGAAGGTTTGGGGTCTAGGAGAGGTGTTTGCTGTTGAATGTCTTGGAAGACTTCTGGCTGTCCAGTCGCATCCACCACTCTCCACTGTTGTGTAGCTGCCAACTTGGGTTGAGGAAGGAACGGGGAAGCTGTAAGATGAAGGCTAGGAAACTTCCAGGATTTTCTGGTTGCCTAGTTCAACGCGGCGATCTGGCACAGCTTGCGGGGCAGACTCTTGCATGCTCTCCCGCCTTGGGCCGGTTACTGATGCCGTGAATAATGAATGCTGCTTTCGTTGTTGTTGCAGCGTTTGTGGAAGTGTTAAGGTTTTCAGAAAAAACTTCTGGGGGAAAGGGCTTGAAGCTATGCGAAGGCCGACGGAAAGCATGTAGTCCTGATTAGCAATCGGCCGAGCAAACCCTGCGCCTACATCCACGAATTTACTCAAGAACATTGCGCCAAAAAGGCGCTGTGAGAACACATGCTATGCCTAGACCTTCCACGGAAAGTCTAACGGTCCGCTGCTTGTATTATTGCTGTCTTCCTACTTTTACAATTATTATGACACTATTGCTATCATTGCCATTGTAAGAAGCTGTTGTACGCATGTGCATTCAACAAGGGAATCCAGTCTACAGCCCTCAAGCTGCGAAACCTCCTCCGGAGATCCAGATCTTGCTAGGGGTAGCCCGGAGGCTTCAATGCGCTCCGGCGTAGACGGAGCTTGAGACGAAGCTCTGAAAAATGGGCTCTGGAAATGATGATCCTAGTGGGTTCTTATGGTACGGGTCAGGCTGACTTGGCTGCATATCTTGCATATAGGGACCTGCGTAGTTTTAAAAGGCTGCATGCCCCATCATGACTCACTCTTAGGGATCAGCAGTCGAGAGTGCGAGACCAAGACTCCATGCAGGAGCTTTGTCATGTATGATCCTTGAGGGCCACTCTTCTTGTATGTCACTATAATCCCTATCTCTGCCTTCAGCCTTTGCAGGGTATCCCGATTTGAGAAATGTCAGCCTGGGAGCATTCCGGGATGTTCTTCCTCTGCCAGCTGGCAAGTTTGGATACACATGTGGGGTCCCCAACTTCGTCAAAAACGCACATGCTGCTTGCTACGAAGGAAGACCTTGCGCCTTAAGGGCTTCAACCGCACCAAATCTCCATCGCAGGAGGTGGAAAATTTCGCGCAAAGTGCAGAAGCTGCTGGTTGGCTTCACCTTGAATGTCTGGCCGTCTGCTTTTACATCCGGCGACGAAACATTTCTCCACAACCCCAGCCCGGCAACAAACAGCACAATTGCTTCCAAGACGGGCAGGATGTCTGCTGTTATCCCGTAGCTGATTGTGGCGTTCAGGGCAGCTTGCCTATTCATTCACTGTGGCAGGCATATGAGCTAGCCATGATGTTTCATCAATCTCAGTTGGGGCGTGGCGAACTCTACCTTGCGCGTCATCAGCAGGCACGACCAGCGTTCCTCCTCACCTCAAAAAGCTGGTTTAAGGAGATCAGGCAGGTGCCAATGACACTTCTGTAGCCATTTGCTCCATCTTCATGCTGCTACAAGTAATGTTCAGTGCATTAGCACTAGGAGTCTTGTCACAGATGCCTCTGGGTCATATTGCTAGGAATTGCTTAGTAGTTCTGTGCTGCTTTTTGAAAGGGGACCTTGGTGCCCTCTGTCGGCTGACTGCAAATTTAGCCCCCAACCTTGATTTTAGCCGCTGAGGACCTGGACCTTGATGACCATTCTTTCTAAACAGGGCATGTGCTAGTAAATAGCACCATAATAGAGAGTAAGATTCTTGTGGAACACGTAAACGTAAACTAAGCAGAAGATGCATGTCCGACCCAGGCAACAAACCATCGGGCAATACAAAAAACTCGAGCATTTGTCGGGAAGCAGACAGGCCTGAGAACTTTCCATGAGACAGTACTGTCACCTGGCACAAATGAGGCGTGCTGAAATACACTTCAGGCGTGGGATCAGTTCGTGGCGGGTTTCTTGCACACGCAAAAATTTCAGAAGATGGGGGACACCACGGGCAGCTTGAACAAGTTTAAAACAAGATGAACTCAACCACCCCCAACTGACCTGGCATCAACTAGTCGGAGGGCATCAGCTACCTCAAGCAGGCTACGCAACATCCACAATAATCGTCGCAGACCTTCACAAGTCTCAAACTATTTGTCACTGGTACCAGCGCGCTAGGCTAAAGTAGTGCGGGCCATGGTCTACTCGTCAAAGCAGCCGCAGTAGCAGAAGACCCCTTTTTTCAATGATGTGGAAAGCGTCTCAGGAAATCAAGCTCGCATGATATGGGATTTTTCAAAATGAGGGCCCTTGTGTAAGCCGTGAACTATAGCAATCCTTGTGCCAGAGGTAATAGAGATCACCACACAAAAAGCCCCCATTGTTTAAACTCCGTGCTCAGGTTGAGGTTTCTCAAAGCGGCACTAAACGCGCCTATCATGAAAGCATGTGGGAAATTCTTTGAAGAAGTCTTTTGAGAGTATTGTTGAAACTACCTAGCGGCCTGCTGGCACAAGTCATACGCCCTTGCGGCTATCTTCTGGTAAGCCGGTCCCAAATGAGCTTCCAAAGCTAGGGGCCCCCCTTGTACACCCAACACTCTACATTCCCTGTCAGAGAAATTCAGGAATGATGTTGGAAGCCCCCAAACCCTCAGCGCGCCTTGGGGGGAGCCGACTTATAGGCTGCCCTTGCGATGTCCGAAGGCTCCTCTCGCCATCTCTTCACCTCAGAATTTCGATGCCCGAAACGTCCCGAGCCATGACGGACAGCAACAGACAGCAGGTCTAGCCAGTGCACATACAACCGGTTTAGAGTTTAGCTTTTTTGGGGGTTAGGTTTCCTGGGCGTTAATGCAGTACAAAAGTATCGGATCCATGTTCTTGATCAAACAACCACCATGGCACCGTATCCCTCAAGCGCAAGTATCTATGATTTGATCTCATGCCATGCCATACCCTACAACAAAGCCCGAATGTTGACTGAGAGCACTTGTTTACCTTATCACACGGTGTGTTTCCCCAACACGCAAGAATCCGAATCCCATGTCTAATTCCCCAAGCTGGACCCATCGTTGTGAGAAAAGGGGGGTAGAGTGGCTTCTTCATACCGACGTGACCCTGATACAATCGATCCCCGCACAGAGCTCTCCTTTACCCTTGCATTACCCCAACACTCATGATCAAAGGAAGACAGCACAGGTTTTTTTTGCCGACAACTAGCAATAACAAAAAGATGCCTGCTACATCCCTGCAAAAACCGCAGACATTCCAAGAATTTAGACCCTATGTTGAATATGTTGAGATCCCAATTTCACGGCAAATGTTTGTTTTGTAACGTGCCGGTCAGCCCCGACTGGGCCCCGGAAGGGGAAGTCATTCTCGTGGGATTTCGTAAGGAGTGTACAAGATAAAGGGCATGTAGGGATCAAAAAAGAGCATATTCGCTTGAGCCGTTGCCTTAGATGTGAACCTGTCTTCCGTAGGGTGACCGGGCGGCGCTTGCTTGCTATACTGATCATCCCCATATCTCAATGGAGGGGTCAGATGTTGGCAGGAATGGAATTTTGCGCGAAGCTGCGTGAGAAGACCTGCAAATTGTGGAGCCTGGGCAGACGAGGACGCTGGAGGGCCAAGGGTTTAGCAATCGAAGGTGTAGGCTTTAGGGATTGAGGGGTTCAAGGCTTCGTGGGGATTCACCTGGATTGAAGGTCCAAAAGGCTTGGGCTGTCAACAGTCCTGTTGGGTTCAGGCGCACAGCAGGCACAGTTGTTGGCACAAGCAAGATCGCCCCAGTGCTAACAATAGTGGACTCAAACTGGCAGGAATGACACTCAGAAGTTTTCTACAACTGGCGCAAGCAGGAGTGGTCATCAAGAATGACCATAAACCTGATGGGTGTTGCACTGGAAAGAGCTGGAACCCCAACTGCAAAAACAGCATGAGCACTGTTCGTTTAGTAAGCACTGAAATCACATGTGGAGGCTGCGGCGGCATAAATGCTACCAGTAGAACGTGTATTAGCTGTAGGTAGGCAGGCAGGCAGGCACGTACGTGGATTGGAGAACAACAACGATGGCTCCCTCAAGATCCGAATTGTAACAGACACAGCAGGACAGAGAAAAGTGTGAAAAAGAAACGAAGAGGTACAACACAAATGATAAGGGTCACAACGGAGAGATCACCAAAACGTAAAGAGGAGCAGCCATCCGAGGAACAATGCTGTTATGTGTGACCGAAGACTCTGAACTCTAAGCCTTCGTTGTCCTCGAACCATGTTCCCGAAAACGGCAAAGCTTATCAACCGTCAACCTTTCATTCAAATCCCAGAGCCCCTCAGGTCTCCAAATACGAGCCAAAACATTCACTATCCTGCTTTAGATGAACGAAAATGATGAACAACTCCACCGGGAAATTCCAATGCCAGACTGGCCCTAAACTGCGCGAAGCCAGGGTGCTGCACGGCAGAGGCTTTCCGGTACTGTGCCCGAAGCTCCGCTTGTGCTGGGTCGTCCTCCACAGAAGGCCCTTAGGGGAAATTAGCGTCTAAGGCTTACAGGCGTTAGGATTAGAATTGGCTTAGGTGCTTTGGGATGAATATTTTGGGCTCTGGGTTTAGGCCTTTGAGCTTTGGCGTGCGGGGCTTGCTGGTGTTGGGTTTAGGTGTTGTTCGGGTTGTGGGCCTGAGGCCTGGTGTTTAGCATTCCAACCCGCTGCAGGGCTTAACAAGCTGAAGTGCAAATGCAACAGCCATGATAAAGGCACAAATACCGAAAAAACAATCTGGGACGAGGCCAATCTTAAGGTTGCGTTCCCTGTCTCAGATTCAGGCGTGGCACTTCACACAAATCCAGCAATGCAGGTTAGCCTTTCAGCGGAGCAAACACGGGTGGGCTCTGATAAACCCTCTGCAGAGAAACCACGAAGGTCCGCAGCCAAAAATCAAACTTATACTTATGCGCCAAAGTTCCTTGAAAGGGTGCAAGGGACCTTTTAAAGGGTCATAGGGATATATGGGAACTACCCTAAATAGAGGGACCCCAATGTAGACCCAAAAATATTATGACCCTTATTATGGTGACCCCCAAAAAGGTACCCCTAATTTTGGGAAACCCCCATATAGCTTAGGGCTCAGGGTTCATGGTTTAAGGTTCAGCTAGAATTGTATTTGTGGCCTCCCCGGATGGACACTACATATGCACACTTGACATAAACTTCAGTCCCTATATACATACTCCAAGACTGATACGAGTATTTACGTTAGCACCTAAGCTGCTGCTTTCTTTTTCCATCATTAATTCTGCTTTTTGCCCCCTCAAACCCTATACACTCATCAGCTCTTTGCGCAGCTTTCGACCCACATTAATCCCTACACACCCCTTATAAACCTAGCTCTCATCTCATGCTCAAGCTTATCTATTTCCAATTTAGATCTCTAGCGCTCTCAAGTATTTAGGCCCCAGAAACTGAACCCTAAACTCGTTCCCTTGCCAGTTTCGAATTCGAATGGAGTTTTTTCCATCTCCATTATTGACTTTTTCTCTAAGCCCAGGATTTTCTCATATGAGCTCCTTGTCCAGCTTGCGGGACAGCATGTCAATCTCACGCAGAAGCTGCTTCAGGTCCTGGGCTTAGATCCACAGGTCGGACCGTAAGTAGGCATTACTTTAAGGTCTAGGGTCTAGAGTTCGGGCTTAGGGTGGTTTTTTTTTTAATCCCGTCGGCTCTTTTGTCACTCACTGCTTACCCTCATGATCCATCCGGTTTTTCAACAACCACAAGTACGTCTTCTTCGCCATCATCCAGAGCAGTATTGAGATGATCACCTTCATGCATCACCGACCCATGCACTAGTCCAGGTAGACCATGTGCTCCATGAGGACCGGGAGGATCACCACCAGCATGTACATCAGTACTACCCACGAAGTCCGAGCCAGAATTCAATTCTCCAGGACATGCTCCACGAACCATCGTCAGGGGGGCTTCAGCTAGCACTTCACTCTGCTCCATGTGCTTAGGATGATTTAGAGATCAAGGGTTTAGGGTTTAAGGGCTTAGGGCTTGGGGCTCAAGGTTTTGAGTTTAGGGATTTAGGGTTTTGGGCCTGGGGAGGTGCACTGGACGTTGGTAGTATGGAGTGTAGGAAGGCTTAAGAAGATTGAGAGATTCCCAGGTTACCCTAGGGCTTGGGGTGCAGATCCCTGTAGATAATGGGGCTTTCCCAAAATTAAGAATACCATTTTGGGGGTCCCAATAATACGGACGGTAATATATTGGGGTCTATATTAGGGCTGCCCTATTTTGGGATACGTCCGTGTGGCTGATATTAGAAGGTCCCCACAACACAGAGGGCTTATTGAGGTTAGGCATAGAGTGAGTGCCGATTACTGCTTAGGCACCCGCGCTCAGCTCGTGTGGTGGGGTGCCACTCAGCGCTCCCGCGAATTCGTCCCAGGACCATGTCCATCCAGGTCAGGCACCCACATTTCAAACATCAGGCAACGATAGGCAACGTATATTTCGAGCACAGTGCCACTACTGGGCGCTACTGCAGTATTGGCTGCGCGTTTGCTATGCATATTCCCGTCTGACTGTGGGGGCGTGTTGGGTGGTCTGAGACAGCGGAAGAGGGTGAGACCCCTTGCTCTTCTCGCCTAGAAACGCAAGGGGCGGGGGCGGGAGGGGAAGGCGGGGTAACCGTGCTGCATTTTCCAGGAAGACACTCCAAAGACCCACGCAACTGCAAATTATGCCTGCTCGGCCTCAGGCCGGGCCTCCGCCTCTGAGGCCTTGCAGGGCAGGTGAGCGTCTGTGGAAAAGTTTACACAACGTTGACTGAAGCACATTCCACTAACAGCAACATCACACACAACCTGGTTCAAACTTCTCTGGCTTGCACCGGTTGGTCTCATGCCCAATCCGTGACACCGCGGGCGGCACGTATTTCAAACAAAATGCAACGCTACGGCAATATCGGCTGCGCTGGCATATTACCCAGGCCAAACACTGTAAACTGCGCATTTGCATGGTGTTTAACAAGCTCTCGCCAGCGAGCAGCGAGAACATCAATGTTTCATATACTTCTTCCGATCAGCAGCAGGGCTTCTGGCAAGGATTTTGGGAAGAGGTGGCTTGGTTTTCATAATTTTTCATATGATCTGGACCAGCATGAATCGTTTTTCCAGCTACTAGGAATTGAAACATTACGTCACGCATCTCGTGGCCACGGGCGTTACAAAGGGAGCGGGAGATCTTGAAAAACAAAAGCACCATGTGTCCCGAACCCTGGGGAAGGGGACTCAGGTCTTCCAAACAAGCAACGAAAACAGACCAGGACAGTCCACCTATAGGCGTAAGCCCAAGGAAAACTCCGTAGTACGCACAAATAGGCAAACAGCCACTTCTCCACTGCTAAACTCCTGCACTCCAACCCTCACCTAAAACTCTGAAGTGCAAACCTTAAGCCCCGAGCCTTTTTTACAGTAAGCCCCTATACCTCTCATTGAAAGAGACTCCGCACGCATCGCAACCTGGTCTATCGCCCGCGCTGGTCCTGAGCAATAAGCTATAAGAACCTATTTGATTAGTGCTTGCAGCTCACTGCTTCCAGTTGGAGATGAGGGCAGTAACGCTTTAGGATCAATTTGTTTAAGCTTTAATCTTTAATCATTTATCTCTCTTTATCTCTAGCCTTTCCGTTCGTTCATGCTCCTAACTTGTCGGGATCATGAGGGACCGTACAATGAATGTATACTAAAGCTATATAAGGTTTCTGCGGGGCTTGTATTTCGAGGCCTTTTGAAAGAAAAAGCCGTATTACCAGCGAGAAGCATCAATAAGACTCACGGAGGGGTGTTTACAACTTGTAACGCTGAGTGGACGCGTCCATTTCAAATAGGAAACCACGTGTTGGATAAAACGCATGTCATGGCGCGACCTACAGCTGTGCAACCAGCAAACTTGCTAGAACAGTGCTGACTGCGCATAAAAGTATGCGTATATATGTATAGGCAAAGCTGTCATTGTTGAAACATCGCTGCTCAATGCCCCATCCCTAGGTTTTGGCAGATGAAAGCATCTAGAATGTGAAGGCCCGGACCACCCGTTGAATCGGCTTCTGCTGACTCGCTCAGGACTTCAAACTGCCAAGCCCAGCAAATGACAAAGTCCAACCTTTGTCCATACAACTGCAAGTCTCCACGCATGCCCAGGGCGGATTCTCAACGATTCTAGACTGCAAAAGATACTGGGACCGCTGAAGGACACCGCCAACAAAAATCCATACCTTTGATTCCTTTGATGAAACATCACCCCTGTCATCTCTGTATGGCAATTCTTCAAAGAACCCACATGTTTGAGGTGCAACCAGCCTTTGCAGCGCAGGATGCCGTCCTCAGCTACGCGCCCCCTCCCCCAAAGATTCACCAGTCATGGTTTACTAGACCCTAAACCGCCCATCCTCAAACCGCCTCGGCTTGGAACCAGAAGCTGTGCTGCTGTCAGTACGGTCGTTGCAATGTCATGGATGAGGTTGGCATCTCTGCAAGCAAGCTTACAAACGATCCTGCAGTAACGACTGCCGTGGGATGGGGCCAGTGCAGGACACTTATTGTTTTCCAGCTTCACACGGCTTGCGCGAGTTGCGAAGTAAATCCGGCAGAGTCTTGAAGTCTTGGTTGAGCTGTTTTTATGCGAAACACAAAATGTATAGACATCTCCTTGTGAGAGCATAGCCTCAGTGTCTTTTCCAAATCTGTGTCAAGGTCACGGAGCCCTCAAGTCGACCTCCATGTGGAAAGCCAAACAGGCTCACGATTGCCCAAGATACACTCGCGGAAGCACTGCTCTTGAAACAGAACTAGGAAGCCTCGCTACTGAGAAGTGTACTTCTGTCCTGGCACTCTGAGTCTGTACGCCTCAAAATTCACGAAGCTAAACCTGAACCTTGAAATCGCAACCTCCAGGCAAAGCTCAAACCCCGAAAGCCGCAAGCTGCACCCCAAAACCTCTGTCTGACCTGCAAGCCCCACATCATCAATGCGAGTGGCTATGAATTCTTCTAGCGTAACTTCGCCATCGCCATTATCCTCGGGTGCCAAGCATTTCTGTCCCCTGGTCAGACGGTCTGATGGGGGCTGTTTTGGGATGACGGTTCTACATGGGCCATAGAATATCAACCGCCATGCCGTCTGCTGCGAAGCATGGAACGCGCGAGCACTTGGTGGTCAAGACTACAAATGCGCCCCAGGTCTCCGGATGTAATGCGACCACCGGCACCATGCACACAAGCATTGTAGTAAGGGCTTGGGCTTGTGTGTCTTTTCGCCGAGTGGAAAAATTTGGGTTTCCGTTCCGAACTCTCGGAGGCTACGTGGGCCATGTCTTATAGACATCCGAGAATGAGGACACGTGCGTCCGCGCTACGAACACTCATTGTCACTGCATTGCTGCCTGCATTCGGTCGAAGCTTGGCGACGGAAAACTAGCAGCATCAACGACCATACAAAAACTCTGGAACTGAACAGTTGGGTGGTGATTGGGCCGAACCTTTGCAATTGTAGCCTGGCCCAAGTAAGTTCCGAAAAATGCAAAATCAAAACCCAGTCTGTCCAAGCAACGATGATGTGAAACAGGGCGGCACCTGGCGGGGACAATCGTGGTCAAGAGGTTCTCAACTTGCTATTAGAGGAGGATTTAAACAACTGGGATTCCACCCAGGCTTCTGAAGAAGGGGCAGAAACACTGTGATCAAGCAGTACAAAAACAAGTTTATCGGCGTACGTTGTACCCTGCGTTTCGCACATAGTTTTGTTTGCGGCGTTTGTTTTTTTGATTTTTGTGTTTTGTGTTTTTTGAATATTTTTGTCATCTTCTGTTTTCTGCAGCCCCAAGACTACGGGACTGGATGTTTTTGCCCGAATGCACCGCAGAAGGGTTCCTGTTTTAAGGTTGGGGTCCAGGAGTCCATGAGGTGACCAACAAGTCTTGTGCTAGTAGAAAAACTACTCCAAATCTGGCAAGTTTGATCGTCAAGGTCAGTCTTGCAGATTTTTCGCGGGCTTCGACCCAACGTTATCCGGACAGACGGAAAAGCGCAGCCCGCGTACTGCATTGTGTTACTGAGTCAGGCTGCGCATCCTCAAGGCGTA